CTTATCTTGTTGATTTGACTAAATTTCTTAATCATATTAACCTTCAAATGCAGGGCAATGCAAACCTTTCCGGAGATCAAGGGCAGGCAATAACTGCATTGAAAACATTAATCAAAAGAATTCGAGACATTTTTTATAAACATATAGTTCCGTCTATCTTCACCACGTTAGAATCGATATTAAATGGATTCAGCAACGCATCATTTAATGGCCAATCTTTCGCAGAACAGACGCAATAATTATATGATTATTTGAGTAAACGGTTCACCGATATAGACGATTTACAGTACTTGTGTCGGTTGTTCCAGGCTCCTAAAGCTTCTATGTACGATTTTTTCATACTTCCTTCACCTTCGTTCCTTCCCATTACCCATGATGTCTACCAGCTTCCCGCGATTTCCATTGGGCAACAGTCCATAATGTTGGCCAAGAGTGGACGATAAATTTAAATATATTAATTTTTTTGTATTTCAAGTTCTCAATTTTTCTCGATGAACTTCTAGTTCCAGATTCTATGATTTCATCGAAATTACAAGTTAGAATGTACGCTTCGCCAGAGAAATAATGAGAACATTTATTTCATAAATTCCAAAATTAATAATCAGATATCCGACGTTTAAGGAGACGGTAGCACAACATGGATAAACCGTATAGGAACCATAGAGACACGGACCGAGCAACGTACTCCACAGAGCTATACAAGGAACTCAGTTGCGCATATAGAAGACCTAAGTATATCCACAGCATTGAAACAGAAGTAGACATCTTATACTCCGCCCTGAATTCCGCCTTTGAAGTAGCCTACACCTCAAAAAGAAGGTCAAGGAGTGACACCACGAACAACCGGTAGAATGCAAAATTAACTTTGTAAAACTTTGTTAACTAAGTTTGGATGGCTTGAATGGATAACTCGCTACCAAATGAACGTCACGCCACAGACCCGGCACGGATGTCAGAGCATCTGCTAAGTGTCCACGTTCCAGACTCCAGACTGAAGGTAGAGACAACCGACATCCTTAGCCAAAGTACACACAGATGGAAAATAGTATCTCACATAGTGGATGTTTAATAAGTCACACGGGCAATAGGTAGTTTCAACAGCTCTAAAAACCCTGGACCCGATATCCTATCTGCAGACATGTTATAGCAGGGGGAGAGGCAGTAGCCGTCAGGCGCACTTACTTGTACAAGACCTACATCGATACGCAACAAACAGAGGTGAGAGTAGTATTGAGTCGTAAGCAAGGTAAGTACAGCTACCATAAGGCAAAAATATTTAGGTCGATTCTCGATGTCAATAAATGTCACCAGCATGGATTCGTACTTAGATAAAGCCCGATTGGTGTCTGTTACGAGTTACGGCTCCTTTTCTTATGGCTGACCAGGTATATTAGGCTGTCTGGGCTCTTCCTGCTTTAATTAGCAAGCTTTGCCTCAAGGAGAAACTAAGGTCTGGACCGACCAATGGCCGAAGTTTAGCCTGCCAATTAGCAAGCTTGACACAACGCTTTTCTTAAAGACTGGCCCATGACTGGACGGTATCGTAGATCATAACTTGGGCTCAATCAACGGACGCTAGAATGATCCAGTATATGCAGCCGTTAATGGTCCATAACTGGACATATCGTTTTGTCAAGATGGGGTCAATTGTAATTTTCACGCTTTCCAGGTGTGAAGTGCCAAGCTCTGACAATAGGACCAACTTGGTCCAATCTTGGCTTACTCAGCCTTGGTATACTTAGATTGGTCCTTGGTTATTTCGGTAGATATACCAGTCTATTCCTAAGACTACCATACTCCCGGATACCAAGCTTGAGCCACTCTATACACAAGATTGGCATCCAAGACTGGTACTGTCTGACTCGGACCAGGCTAAATACCAGGCAGGTGCCCAAGCCTCAGTAATGTCTGCACTTAAACTTTATATTGACTGTTGCGTCATAACGTCAAAACGATAGTTAGGGGTAATTTTTATGTCAGCGACAGGCGGTGGCAGCACCTGATGGGCGCCCGTCTCTCGCTGATAAGTGCGCGCGCCGAAAACCGTTGCCTTTTTTATCAGTTTATCACCCATTTTTCTTCCAGTCTTTCACAAGTGATCCTATTTTCTCTCGACCGTGTGTTCACTTAAAAGCATCCCTACCACATTACTGTTGTTTCACCCAAAAACCAACCGCATGAGAACACACGATCTCGTGTAACCTCGTGGTTTCTCGCCACGCTGCGAACTGCAACATTAATGGAAGAACAACATTTCCACCAACGAACAAACATAATTTTTCCTTAAGTTAAAATATATCAAACAATATATCGCAAACGATGAGTATGTATGAGAGTGTGCAAACTACGTATATTTTGTGATGTCATTCGCAGGGTTAACTGATTTTATTAAAACAAACACTGTATTGACATAATAAAAGTGGGTTTTTTGTGCCCTTTCCCAATCAAAATAAGACTCAATTAATCTCCCTTTTAAAATCTAATATATCGATCATGTCACCTAGGGCATGATAGTACGTCACGATAATTCATTGACGCCTGGTATCCAACCTCAACCAAGCAGAATCCAGAACTGGTATCGGAGGCTAGGCAATACGAAGCTTATACCATATTGCATGCCCGATTTACACAGAGCGTCGATATAAAATGTAAATCTACTAATTGAATTATTTCAACTAGGAGAGTCTCCAATTCTGACAATTTAGAGAAATATAAGGGATTTTTTTTGTCAAAGCCGTATACAGTTTGCTAATTCAATCGTTCACAATAATAGGAATGATTCGTATTGAACTTACACTACCTAAAAATGCCTACACTGTCTGAAAGGGCGGAGAGGGGGAGGGGGGGGGGGGTGAAAGAGTAAAAAGTTGGTAAGAAATTCATGCGTGAGAAAATTTTGTGAAAAAATTGACATTGGTGAGAGGAAATATAGATTTGATATAGCTGCCATCATCGCTGACAGGTGGGCAAGGGCGTTTCTCAAGTGCGTCGAAGGTGCAACAGCTTTGTTTGGATGTGAGGGATGAACGATCAAAGTTGTAACAGTGAATAAAAGATGAATTTATCCTGCGATGGAGTCTTTTATACCAACAAATGACACTTTCGGGGAGCAAACTCAACCAGATCACGTCATTTGACGGATAAAGTGACAAAACAGCCACTTCAACCGCGCTTGTGGAAATCTCCGGATTCAATCTAGTGAGGCATGTTCCCCTTGATAGTGTAGATTGGCTGTTCTTAAATATTATGAAAAATTTGGACGATAACTGGGTCGTTAGAGACAAAAATATTCACAAATTATCAATGGATCAGTTGACTGTTTTCAACAAATTGATGAAGTCTATTATGTCGTTTGTGCCAGTAGAATGCCAACGGAGAAAATTTGATATGCAAGGTGGAGTTGTCCTATAGTAAGTCCCAGATGAGGAACGCTATCAACACTTTCTGCGGCTGTCTATAGCATGCCGTATTATTTGTAATAATACGTGGATAAAAAGACATTGTGTAATTACGAAGAAATTATTTGAAGATTTTTTTCAATTATTACCATATTATTATGGGGAGGACTCCTGAACAATGACATTTCACCTTCTACTTCATATCTACGACTATGCTGAATATTTTCAATCTGCTCTTTATGACTATTCGGCGTTCGGGGGAGAAAATCACATCGGGCAATTAACAAAATATGTAACAAGCGCTGCAAGACCATTGCCACAAATGATTAATAAATTAAATGCGATTGAATCGGACAATAATGTAAAGATGAAAAAACAGGATTATTAATGAAAGAAAATTGTCAATAGAAATTATAAAATGCAAGTTATATTTTTATCGAGGGATACAGAGTCAAAGAAAGTGATGACGTATTTCGGGCCCCGTGCTTCTCGCAACAAATCGGAATTGTTCTTGGAAAAAAATGGTCAAAAGTGAGTGAGCTCTTACCATTAACTCAAGTAAAAAATAAATGCATCGGTCATCCGTAGAAAACAAAGACTAGCTTATCTCATTACTACACACGAAATTCGGCTATTTTGGCCGGCAACGGTTCCACGTACCTCTCAGTAAGTATATGCTTGTATTTAATTCGATAAATTATTTATTTTCCACCCACGTCCATAATTCAGAATTCACTGAAAATTCAAAACAGCCCACAATTAATTTGATCAATATCGATGAGATAAAAATCGAACCTAAACTCTTAAAATCAATCAGATATAGCCCTCAGCAATCAACGCGTTCAATTTTCATTTGTTTTAGTTGACTAAACATGAGTGGTCCGGGAACACAGAAATACCATTGTTAATTTGTTGGTTTCAAAGGCGAAGTTAATGCAGTTGGAGAAATGCTAATTGGGTTGGGATTCAATGGCTAACCAATCCTTCAATTCATCTACTAATTATTGATTGAAAAGATGAAAAAAAATTAATTAATTATTTATCACTGACATAGTTTACAGTTAACCAAAGTTCTCAATCGCTGATGAATTAATAGCGGGAAAAACCTAATTAGTTAACATAAAAATTACCGCTGTGACCGAGATTCTAATGCGTGACCCTACCATTACCATACCTACGCTTTGCTACTAAGCGAATACCCACTTATAGTTTGTGATTTTTCATTATGCTTATGAATTCCATATGAACTTTGTAGGAACAATTTTAATTAATAATTTTCTGTTATGATTTACTTTATCCATTAACATAAGTTTCCTCATCAAGGATAATAATAATGAATTATTATAACTATTATTATTTTATTTACAAAGCTATTCGGAAGTGTAGCGATCGCTAGCCGGACATGTACTGACTATAGAGAATTTACTCAAATTCCAGGCAATCAAGACTGGGCCAAGTGTTAGCTAAGCAATGCCGCACTAGTGTTATGCGTAAAGCAAGGAAAACGTCGAAAAAAAGAAAATGAAATGCAAATATCAGATAGGGTGACGAAAATTGGTAGAATATGCCTATAAAATTGTGAACTTGAATCGGATAACTCACCTCAACAACTCTAAAATCGTCGAGAGCTTTCCTAGCTTGAACTTTTCTTCCCACAGCACTATTCCCTTGCCTTCTGTTAGTCGCATTGATGGAGATTGTGCCAACTATATCACTAAAAGTTTGTGACGGCTTCACTCTTCCCTTGAACGTTAACACATTGGGTTTGTGGGGGAGAGCATAATGCTCGCAGATAGTTTCAATATCCGCCTTCACCCTATCTTTTAGTAGCCTCTTCTGCTCTTTCTCAGCCTTGACATCTGCCATTTTCTGCCTTTTTACGTATTCTTTCAGCCTGGAAATCATTGTATACAATAAGAAGTGAGTTTGTCTGTAAATTGATGAGGTAATTGCCATATTTCTACCGTTTTTCAGCATCTTTCTCAGCTTTCTCTCTCATCAGTTTACTCTTCTTACGGTTCATCGCCTCCTGTTCCGTTTGAGCGATGTCCAAAAATTTCAGAATATTTTCTCTTCCATTTATTGTCGCTAATTCCCGTGCAGAATGCCTGTCAATATCCAATGCCCATATGTTACACCCAAATTTGATTAAAAACTTCACGCAGAATTCGTGACCTCGCGCAGCTGATAGGTGAAGGCCAGTATTTCCAAAGTAATCAGTTTTGTCTGGGTCTCCCCTGCGGGAATGAATAACAATACATCATGTAATATATCCAGTGCGACAAAAAGAAGGAAGACATAATGCTGTGGATACAAATTGAAGTAAGAAAAGGGACCGGGAGGGGGGGGGGATGTTTACCAGGAATAGTTGGAAATTTTCTTTTCCTCTATTTATTTATGTTGAATCGGCATATCAAAAGTTGAAGTGAAATGAACATTCTTGACATGCTTTTTAATATGCATAACTGCAATAAATTGATGCCTGCTCCGTTTGGCTTTATTATGAGAAAGAAATATAATGCCTTTTATTAAAGATGATATGCCTTTTATTAACGACATAATATTTTCCGTTGATCACAAAGAAGATGAATAAAAAAATTTCATGTAAAATGCTATAACTTAAGGTGGTTGTCGCGCGACAGTCTCTTATCACAATCTTTTAGCGGTGTATAGTCTCACTTGATTGATTGCATTGTGCATATGGATAGCTAAAGCATAACTATATATTTTCCATATTAACTATTTTCAATTATATAAATTTATGAATTTCCGATAATTATATTCCGTAAAGCAAACGGTCAAACGGTTTGATTTTTTTTCTGTATTTCCTCCCACGATGTATATTCCACATTTTTTTTTATTTCTGAAGCTGTCGAGCCGTTGATTTTTAAAACACGTTTTTAAACACGTGTTAAATCACTCGAATTTCAAAAATTTATATCTCAAGTTCAAAACGGTCAATTGCAAACGGAAAAGGCTCATTTTGTTGCTAATTTTTCAAACTATTCACCATAAAATTATTAACGAAAACTGTCGAAAAAAAATTCTACGCGACAACAACCTTAACAGGAAATTGTGCAATTCTTTCCATATTCTGCTACGATCAAGAGCCTATTAACGATCATTAATTCCTCTTTGATAATAATTACTTGAGTTATCGTTGCGAATCAATTTTTGAAAAAATACGAATATTTCCAAATCTTCCTCCTGATTTCAATTCCAATTGGTGTCTATGAATGGAGCGCATGGAAGTTTATCTTCGCAGGAAAATTCATGAAAACTCAAAAAAAAATTCAGTGAAAAATTACGCATTCTTCTGAATTGTCATGGAAATTTCAAAATTAAACAGTGTCAATAGAGATAGCTTTTAAAAGTCTACATTCATTTTAACAAATCATGGTATTCTAACAATCCCTGGTGAAGAAAAGGAGAGAGATAAAAGAAGCAAAAAACACACACACACATCCAAACATACAGTCATACATACATACAGACACCATCGAAAACCGCATATTCGGACCTTTTAGGTTACATTTAGTTACCCTAGCACAAAAAGTTGGGAACTTGAATATGGCCGAATACAAAGCTCCCGTTCGGAAGCACAAATAAACACCACCAGGGGTTTATAACTTAGTTATTATTATATATAGTTATTTTCTCGACATTTGTCTACTAACCCGAGTAAACAACTATAACTTAATGTAGAGAAACTTCAACTTTTTGAAGTAAATATAGTTTTGCATGTCTTAATTGGAGGCACAAATAACAGATAAAATTACGTAGAATTTTAAAATTTAAACGGTGGCAGGTCTTTTTCCAACCTTATTTACCGACCAGATCACAACCCCCTTGGAAGGTTTTTCTATCAACTCAGCCACGCATCCGGCAATTTTGATTCCATTAAAAAGTAGAGCGTACTCCTTATATCTGTACAATATATTAAAAAAATATACGATAATGGATATTTGATTTCAACACCCATTCAAAAATTACAACTCAATTAGTGAAATCATTTTATTCTTAAAATACATTCTGACGTTCTCCATATTCATATTTAGTTATAAACAAGAATGCAAGAATATAAATGAGCGACTATTGAATGAGAATACTTGGCCAAACCTGTATCCAGAATTTTTTACGGTTCCAGAAAATGATACATTCCTCCTATACAAAATTTTCAACGAAAATTATGAAAAGTATTGGGGAAAGAATACTTATGCATGATCAATTGCAATAATGATGTAATCTAATTTACCAATCAAGTAGAGATAAGCAACTATGAGATATGCAATTTTCGAATTTCTTATGGATAGAGCACTATTAAGATTTACTGGCACTCATTCAGTCCCCCCCCCCCTCCTCCAAATTCTGAAATTGCAAAAATAGCAAAAATATTCAAAATAACACAGGTCAATTGACTTTGAAATCATTCTCATCGTCCGACAAGGTTGAAATATTTCTCAAATCAAGGAGTAACGAACAATCAACAACAAAAAACCTTTTTAGTAAAGCCAAATCTTCGCGAGATTCTAAAAAAAACATTTAAGTTCTGTTACTATTGCCTTTATGCGTACGCAAAACAATTCAGTATATTTCTTAACGATGGACTGCATTAAATACAAAGACAATAATTGAAAGAAGTCTGAATGTAATTTATGAATAAAACAAATTTAGTAACTGAATTGTAATTTTTTTATGGGTCCCGAAATAGAATACCCACTTTTGTATATTTGTTTTATGAATCGTCTACACCAGGCCTGGGCAAAGTGAACTGTTGCAGCACATTGAGCTCCACTCTTAATATATAATTCCCAAAATTAGTAAATATCTTATTTGTAATTTCGTCAATTACTGAATTTGTAATGAATCTTTATCGCAAGTGTTTAATTAAAGATATGAATTAAAAGATGTTGCCCATTCGCCGAATGCTTCAGCTGTCCAGGGTCGATTGATGAGACTTACACGATTCATTATCAATATATTCTTATTCCGTAATATCTGAATTTTCGCTTTCTTTGAAATTCGAGGTTCTGTTCACCCGTATCGGTATCGAGGTTTAACTGTATTTCTGAGAGTTTTCTCTCATCGAGGTTTGTACTGTTTTCCGGTATCCAAAAGATTCCATTCCTACGACAGGATAAATTTCAGAAGCTGCAGGTTTTCCTTCCGACAATCAGAGCCTGTATGTACCGCCCAGAATAGATCTCTACTTAACTATTGTGACTTTTGCGAAGTTTTTCTTATTTATCTGTTCTAATTCGTTTCCAGTTTCTTATATCTGGGGTTTTGCCTTGGTTTCGAGGCTTTTCTGATTAATGACTCTAATTACTAGTTCTTTATGACTGTTACTGATTTCTTAATTAGAGAAAGGAGAATCCCTCAGAAGTGGTCTGTTCATTTCAGACACTATCATCATCCTTGAGATTCCTCCGATCCACTGAAATCTTTATTATCGAGACACAAATAATTTTCCACATATCAAAATAAAATTAAACATTAATAATATGAAGATAAAACAAATTATCAACAATTTAACTCGTTGCTCACATTTCTCCATTACGGGCCCGGACTGATTGTCGGAATTTTTCACCCGTTTTTCCCATGTGATATTTCCTGAAGTAGAGCATAATTAAGTATTTTCCTCACGCAAGAATTGCAGCTAATTTCGAGCATAGAATCGAAATTAGCTGCAATTCTGGTGTACCTGCTTTATTACCTGCTGGTTACTGGCAATATTTCGATTCTAGTACAACCAACAGGTTGCGTGCAAATGATTCTACTACAGCAGGGCCCGGCAACCTTCAGGTAGTCGGGAGCCAGCCTATTACCAGGGTCGGGATAATCCTCTTATCCTAATGGGTACCCAATTAGCCAACCATTGTGAGCGAATAAGTGCCAGCAGTGACGATATTGCAGCCAGTCACGTAGAGTGGCGTGCCAGTCACATAAAAATGGCTGACCCGCCAGAATTGGCGCAAATTTTCAGTTTCAAATTTTAAATAGAAAATAGAAAAATTAAAATTTACAATGAAAAACCCTCAAGAATATATTTTGGAATTGGCTTTCGGTAATTATTATTTGCCTACCGAATAGTGCCACTCTAAATGTGAAAAATAAAAATTTGCCACGGTTATTTTTGAAAGATTCGATTATATATTATATTATATTCCTGATGGTTTATTTCATCCCAATTTCAATGCTAGCATTTTCCGTCACGTGGTACAAGTAAAACGGTTTTACTTAGGATATTTTTCGAATATTGCCTCGTTTGCTGCTAAGCAATGACAATATCCAATAAACTGGTACGCGTTTCAAACCCCAAAACTGTCATTAGAAAAAATCAAGTTCAAAAACTTTACCTCGACATGAGCAGATTTCGAGGAGAACCCTTGGACATTATTGGGAGAAAGTAAGGTGTTGCGGGAGTTTATGTTTTAATTCATAGTACAAGGTGTCGTTATTAAGTTTACATGTTTTTTCGAGTACTTGGAGATCGTTAAGTTTGTTAGCATAGAAGTCTAGTGTTAGTTATTTCATGGAGTCGTACACTGTTTCAAGTTGTGCTTCCCTATGGATTGTATTGTTAGACTTCTTTGGGTCCGCTTTGGTAATCGTTCTGAGGCATTTGTTTTGGATTATTTGAAGTTTTTTGATATTAGTTTTGCATGTGTTGCTCCATATTGGAGCTGCATACATGAAAACAGGTTGAATAATCATTTTATAAATTGTTAACTTGTTGTTTAGGCCTACCTTGCTTGATCTTTTGATTAGCGGGTTGAGCAGGTTTTTAATCTCGTATGTTTTTTGCTTAACTAATTCTATGTGTTTGGTCCAAGAAAGTTTAGAATCTAACGTTACACCTAGGTATTTTACAGCGTTACATGGTTCAACCTGGGTATCGTCCACGATCAGTTGACACCTCTCGATTGACTGTTTGTTTCTTTTAACTGAAAAGATAATAAATTCTGTTTTGTTAGTATTGATTTTTATTTTCCAGGTATTAAAATAGTCAACGAGTAGGTTCCAGTGATCCTGGAGGTGTTTGGTAAGTAGTTGGTTGGACCATGAGGACGTGTAGACAGCTGTGTCATCAGCGAATAACGCTATCTGTGTTTTAGGTGTCTTTGGTATATCATTTATATATATTAGGAATAGCAGAGGCCCTAGAATAGATCCCTGTGGAACCCCCGCCTCTATCAACCTGAAAGTTGAGTTTTCATGATTGACTTTAACTCTG